GCTCAACCTCTTGCACCTGCGACTTCTGGTCCTCTAGCGCATGGCTACATCTGCGGCTTCTCCCACGCTTCTGCGATCACGCACCTACGGTTCCCAATCCGCAGGTGCGGCTATGAAAGAAGTTCAGCAGCTGAAGTTGCTCCAAACAACTCCCAATTCTTCCGACAATCTTTCGAAATCATCCCGAGGCCCCCGGGACGCTCAAAATAATATCAAATCATTAAAATACCCTCGGATTCAAGCCTAAGGATTCCAAAACTTCCAATTTCAGCTTTTAATCAAAACGTCTATCAAACCTCGTCCGAATGACCTGAAATTTTGCACACATGTCCCAAATGACACAACGGACCTACTCCAACTTCCGGAATTCCATTCCGACCCAGATATCAAAATCTCACTGTCGAACCGGAAGCTCCTAAGCCCGAAATCACCGAATGGAGCTAACGGAACCAACGAAATTCCATTCCGAGGCTTTCTTCACACTACTCCAACTATGGTGCAAATTCTAAAGCTTAAGCTCTCATTTAGGGACTAAGTGTCCCAAAACACTCCGAAACTCCAAACGAATCCTCTCGGCAATTCACAATAGTAGAAATGAATATGGGGAAAGCAGTTAATAGGGGATCGGGGTGTTAATTCTTAAAATGACCGGCCGAGTCGTTACACCCTCGGACAGGCGGTTAAGGCCTATCCTTCCGAGCTTCCACTTGATAGTCCCCAAGGCACTCCAAACTGCTTGGATCGCTTTGGGTAAAGTGTCTACCCTTTGTCTTTGCAGCTTCATACCGGCATAAGGTTTCTACCCTTCCAATAATGTGAAGAGTTTGTCTTTCTCCCCCATGTATCATATGTTCAGCATGAGTGCGGAGAATTCCCGCACTGATTTGGTTTAGTGGAGCTCCCATAGCTTTTTTTGTGCATTGTACTCAACATTTTTGGTTAAGAACTATAGGCATATGGCTGCCTTTACTTCTTCCCATATCGAGTATCTTCACCGGCCCTGATGGTTTTGTATTTCACCCGCCACCAGAGTTTAGCATTACTCTGAAGATACATGGCTGCAGTTACTACCTTCTTAACTTCTTCTAGCTCCCCCACGGCATCGAAGTATTGTTCGATATTGAAGATGAAGTTTTCCACTTCTTTGGCATTTCGAGCTCTATTGTATGGTTTTGGCTCAGGAATCTTCAGCTTTTTTAGCACAAGGGTCTGATTCACAGCACCCCCGATCTGGTTTCCACCTCCTCGAATGAGGCCTTATAGTGCAGCATTGACAACATTGAGATGGCCTGTCAAGTTATCTATGGTTTGTTGCATAGCAATCACCCTGTCTGCCTCTTGTGCCCCATAGGCTAAATCCTCAGTACGCTCCTGTTGGAGGCCCTCGAATTTACCAAAAATTTTGGTTGCCTTTGTGGCTGCCGTTTGTCGGTCTCCTTCAGAGTCACGACGTTCGCTGTGTCACCTTCGGCCTGTCGCATCCTGCGATCCAGGTCATCCAACCTTTGCACTATGTTGGTTCTTAGATCAGGCACCGTATTCACAATGGGTCATAATACGTCAACCGTCTCTTCAAGGGCCGCAATGCGGTCCCCATAATTCACCATGGTCAGAAATGATGGTAATGGCAATATGTTCCCTCGTCTGATGTAGAGCCTAGGCTCTGATACTAACTGTTACGTGGCGTCTTCTTGAGATTCCTTGGAAGGGCGATATAAGGCTAAGCAACTAATGTCCGTGTAGTTACTATCCACCAACAGGGGTCCCCTCCGCACGCTAGATGAGATTGTTAGTGTCGTACGGGAAAACCAATGTCAAGAGCAATTGAGAGAACAGAAAAGAGAATTGAGAATGAAAGAAAGCTTGATTGCATTAATAAAATCTATTACAGAAAAGCAACACGGTGTCGAGGAAGAGAGACACCAGTACAGAGAATTATTTGCTTGTTAGAAAGTTTGATTGCTCGATCTCCCCTAATAGTACTTAAAAAAAATAAACCAAAGTTACAGGACTTGACCTAACTAAGCTAGAGAGACATAATGTAAATACATGAAATAAAACTACTCTATATTTACAATGAAAAAGGACTTAGCTTCCTACAAAGTAGAAGTCGGTCTGTTGGTAGCAACTTTGTCTTTAGCATCAGAGTTTGCGCGCGTGGCACTGTCTGCGCGCACGGCGTTGTTGGAATTTGTCTGCGGCTGGGCGCTGGTGAGGGCTATCGGTGGGGCGACATAGACACAAGCGCGCTTGTCACTTGGCACGGACAAAACTACGAGGCCGACCATACCGCTAGGCGTTGGGAGGCTTGCTAGGACACCATGGGGCGTGTCCAAGGGTTCATGGGGCACGGCCGGAAAGCCGCCCATGACATAACTCATGCATGTTTGGGCGATCTTAATTAAGCAACACTTACCCATTTTTCTTTGTCTTTCTTATATTACGAACACTCCAATCCTCTTATCTTTTGAGTAATTAGGTTCTTTTGACACTACTACTGTCTCTCCAAGAATGCCACTATTACCGTGGGGAGTCAAACATCCTTTTATTTACTGAGATATAAATGGTGATTTATAGTATCTTTGATAATTGTTTAATATATAAATTTTATCTTAAAAATATTAAAATTAATATTCGAATTGACACGGTACTCCGATCCGAATTCCGTAAATTACTAATATTGTGGGCGTACGCGTATTGGTCAATTACCGTAATTTCAGTAGAAAATTTGTTGACTTGATTATAACACTAGTTTCTAGCTTTGTCGCGCATTAACCAAATATAGGATGAAAGAGTATATGAATTGAAAATGGCTACTTCAGGAATGATTTATCTATTTGACTTCATCTTATGATCTGGATTATTGCTAGACGCTAAGTTACACTAATGATATTATCCCGATCAAGCTTGCACATTTGCATGACAGCAATCGCCAACTGTAGTTCATATTTCCCTAAGTATGAATTTCAGAAAATTTTCTCTTCAAAGAAAAACTTGTGTTAGCTAGGTGTGAAAAGTGCATATTCAGGAGTGAAGTACATTAACAATATTTCAAAGAATTGTTGCATATTTCTATTTCTCTTGATTTTAAAATAAAAATTACATAAGAAGAGAAAGAATATCATTCTGAACGAAAGAAATTTTTTAACTGATATGCTTGCTAAAGACATATATAAAGTTCTTCAAGCTTGAAGTAGCTGTGATGACTTTTTTAGGATAGCAGATGTTGTCAATTCATTAATAATAGATATTTCATAAGTTAGTATCTCTAGTAATACATAATCTATCTATATATTATTAAAAGGAGAGAAAAAAAAAATCATCTCCTTAAGCTAAATATCAACCTAGAAAAAGCCACTTGGCATAAGTAGTTAATAATTAGTTATCTATATATTATTAAAAGGAAAGGAAAAAGCTCTCTCCTTAAGCCAAATGGTAGCCTAGAAAAAAGCCGCATGGTATAAGTAGTTAATAATTAGTTGTTGGTTATTATTTTTGAATTTAAATATCTATAAATAATAAAATAAAATATCTTATAATAAAAAAATAAAAAATAAAAAATAAAAAAACTGTCCATTCAAATTGGAGAGTAGTTTCAAGTTGGAGTTTTTAAATTATTTTAAAATAAAAAAAAAACTAAAAATTGCCATTTAATAAATAAAAACTCCCAATTTAAAATTTCTTTGTTTTTTTAATAATTTTTGTTCTTTTTTAAAAAATAAAAATTTTATTTATTCAAATAATATTATTGATAATAATAGAATAAAATAAAAAATAAAAAAACTGTCCATTCAAATTGGAGAGTAGTTTCAAGTTGGAGTTTTTAAATTATTTTAAAATAAAAAAAAAACTAAAAATTGCCATTTAATAAATAAAAACTCCCAATTTAAAATTTCTTTGTTTTTTTAATAATTTTTGTTCTTTTTTAAAAAATAAAAATTTTATTTATTCAAAAAATATTATTGATAATAATAGAATAAAATAAAAAATAAAAAAATATGTATTTTCTATTATATTATAAAAAGAAAGTAGCATACAAAAATTTAAATAAAGCAATATGACACTAAAAGTTTCTATTAACAATACAACAACACTAAATATTGGATAATATAATAAATAAAAGTACAGAACAAAAAAGTTATTCGATGCCTATATAAGTCTCATTACAAAAAGAAAGTAGTAGACAAAAATATTAAACAAAGTAATATGCTAATAAAATTTTTTATTAATAATGCAATTATATTAAATATTGGATAATATAATAAAAAATACAAAAAAAAAGTTACTCGATGATTATATAAGTCCCTTTAATTTAAGAGAAATTTTATTCATAAAAATTCAGATAATATTATTGACAACAACAGAATAAAATTTAAAATAAAAAAATATTTTAAGATTAATTATATATATATATATATATATTACAAAAAGAAAGCGAGCAAAAAAAATATTAAACAATATGCTAATAAAAATTTTTGTTAACAATATAAAAATACTAAACATTGGGTAATAGAATAAAGAAAAATATAGAACAAAAAGGTTATTCAATAACTATATAAGTCCCTTTAATTTAATAGCAATTTTATTAGTGGGTATATCACATAGACAAATAAGAAATTTATTAAAGCAATACGATATAATTTGTTCAAACAAGTCCGATCACAATTTAATTTAATTAATATTTTTTAATGTTGACCGAATATCGCGCGGGTGTTAAATTTTAAATAGTTAAATTCACTAACACTTTTGAAGATTTTATGTCCAAATTCATACTGAATACTATTAAGTCATCCATTCTCCGTACACTGCCAGATGAAGCCGAAGGAGTACTTTAATTTGCTAGGTCTGGCGATATGATCAATTTGAAAATATATAGTCATAAAAAAAAAATGTTTCTTCTAATCTTCGTGTTTTACTGGCCCTCTCCTAAAATGGTTTGATATAAAGAAAAGTAAATTAAAAAAAGAGAAAACAAAAGGCTAGCTAGAGAGAGGAGAAAATATATAATCATATAACTCACTTTATTCATCTCATAATCTCTGCATTTTGCAAGGAGATCGAAACTGAGCAAAACATACGTACACAAAGACAGAGAAATAAAATATAGGGTACAAACAATATCAATAGCTTAGACAACATGAAGCTACAAAAGAACTTCGCCTCCTGTGGGGCTTATTATTTACTCTTTTTTTTCTTCTTCTTTTCTCATTGCCTCTCGAAATTGGGAAAAGCCTTTTCTTTTAGCTCAACATTATGCTTTTCCTGCATAAGAATATACATTGTGTGCTTAGGTTCTTAGTAATATCAAAAGAAACTGAAAATTCTGAACAGCTAATAACTGATAAATGAAGCTAAGAAAACAAGAAGCAGAGAGCGCAGTTCTTTATATTATATTAATGTTTTGCATGAACACAGTTATATATGCAATTTGCTTTGCATTCTTGACATATCATTTGGAAAATGTCTTAATTAATTTGGCTTAATTACCTTCAACTTCGTGATGTTACTTCTTAGTAGTGGTAGGGAGGAGGAGGAGAAGCGTAAAGATAGGGGTGGTGTGGTGCTGGAGACTTGTAGACTGGAGTTGGTGGTGGAGGTGACTTGTAAACAGGAGTTGGTGGTGGTGGAGACATATAAACTGGTGCAGGATGGTATGGTGTTGGTGAAGGATGGTATGGCTTCACTGGTGGCGGTGGTGACTTGTAAACTGGTGCAGGATGATACGGTGTTGGTGAAGGGTGGTATGGCTTCTTGGGTGGTGGTGGTGACTTGTAAACGGGAGCTGGTGGTGGTGGCGACTTGTAAACTGGTGTGTGTGGAGGGTAGTATGGCTTCTTGGGTGGTGGTGGTGACTTGTAAACTGGAGTTGGTGGTGGTGGTGACTTGTAAACCGGGGTGTGTGGAGGGTAGTATGGCTTCTTGGGTGGTGGTGGCGACTTGTAAACCGGGGTGTGTGGAGGGTAGTATGGCTTCTTGGGTGGTGGTGGCGACTTGTAAACTGGAGTTGGTGGTGGTGGAGACTTATAAACCGGGGTGTGTGGAGGGTAGTATGGCTTCTTGGGTGGTGGTGGTGACTTGTAAACGGGAGTTGGTGGTGGTGGCGACTTGTAAACCGGGGTGTGTGGAGGATAGTGTGGCTTCTTGGGTGGTGGTGGTGACTTGTAAACTGGAGTTGGTGGTGGTGGAGATTTATAAACGGGTGCAGGATGATATGGTGTTGGTGAAGGGTGGTATGGCTTCTTAGGTGGCGGTGGAGACTTATATACAGGGTGGTGGGGTGGTGATGGATAGACATGCACTGGTGGAAGAGGAGACTTGTAGAGGTATGGTTTCTTAGGTGGTGGTGGAGATGAGTATTGATAATTTGCTGAGCTTTCAGAAGCTAAGCTAAGTGACACTAAAACTACAAAAAGAGTGGCAAATAGAGAAGCCATTTTCCCCATCTTTGAAACAAATGAGAAAAGTTGTTGTCTTCTTAAGCTTCACTACGACCCCTTTATATAGCTTTCATTTAGACAATTACCCTTTTCAAGATTTTCATAAATGAAGGTAAAAGTCTCACTTAAAACCTACCAAAGTAAAGTAAAAAAGCTAGAGTATATATGCATTTTGATTTGGTTTTGTCATGTTGTCGGCTCAAATTGACCTGAGTTGGTACACTTTTTTTGTTCGATAGAGGCTGCAAGCTAAGCAAAGGAATAAACTATTATGGCAGCTATACTATTTCTGATGCAATAATTCAAAGAGAAAAGTCTCCTTTTACTTTCTATCTTTTTAGACAGTACTGGAACTTTGAAAAACAAATGTGGATGCCTCAACTTTGCACGATTTCAGTTACAGAAATCAGAGCAGCTAGCTTTTAACTTAAATTAATGTTCTATTCACATGTATGACTAATTTCAAAAAGAAAAAACTATGAAACTTGACATTTACTACTGAAATCACAAAGAGTGAAATTAATTCACTTGTATGAGAAATTGATAAATCGAGTGAAGTTAATATTCAATCATGATTAGTAGTGTCAATCATTGTGTCGCTCCAAAGTTTTATAACTAAACTATGTAAATGATAACCAATACAGTAAATTAAGTTGAATTCTCCTTGTATGATTAATGCTTCTAGTGAAGAATCGGACATGGATAGGAGGACTCAGTTCAGCTTAGAACAAGTTAAGTTTTTCGATCACGGATAGGTGTACAAGTTAATTCTTGTGTACTTCTGACTATAGTTAACTAACCTTCACATGTGTTCAAGAAGCATGTCAGGATCTTTTAGCCTATAAAAATAGAGAATAGTAGAGAATTAATTAAACACAATACATCATATTAAGAGATATAATTCAAGAACCAATTCATACTTTGATAGTATGCAAAGACCATTGTGCACTTCCAATCAACGTATAAGAATCAATAACTTAACTTAGATCATCAACTTTGGTGTTTTATCGGAGGTTTTGGTTTTATGTTCCCGTCCTTTGTATTATCTATTTCGATATTAACAATAGGGTAAGGGTCCAAATCAAACCTCCCACCCCTCAACTTGGGGAGGAGTGGGGGAGTTTTATGTGTAGCATTTTCAGTAGGTCATTTCCAAAGAGCTTAATCTAGAGAAGACAAGAGAAAAACTGTGCATGTGACCCACTTTTATTACCAACCAAATAGGGCAAAATATTCAACGAGTTTTGTAGCTCAATATTGAAAATATATCTAATTCAATCCAATATTTCTGAAAATGTTAGTTATCATAGTTTATCATCATGGGAACAGACAAGAGGTACAAAAAATCATGTTCCAGCAATGGACTAAAGTTGCAAAAAGGTATCCAAAAGCAAAGGAAAAATGGCACCCAGGAGGATCCAGGCATACAACATGCAATGCTCAAATTGTGCTAAGACCAATATATTTGAGTATCACAATGATAACTTTTTGAAATTATTAGGGAGAGAGAGAAATTAACCTAGGAAATGTTGAGGATATTTTAATATTTATTTACAAAAGGTCAAAAAGAAGGTATTCTCTCCGTCTCAAATTATTTGTCGTGTTTTTCTTTTACATACCCTTAAAAAATATTAATTATGAGGAATTTTGGACTATTTTACTCTTATTTATGTTATAAGATATAATCTCTCTTTATTGAATATTTACTCGATGTGCTATCTCCATATTCAAGAATAATTACCATTAAGGGTAAATGAAAAAAATATAATTAATTTTATCTTAAATTTCCAAAATGAAAATAATTTGAGACAATTTTTTTTTTAAAAATCTCGATAGATAATTTGAGATAGAGGGAGTCCTAAAAACCGTCTGAAAAATGAGAAGATCCATTTGAATGGATGAGTAATTAAAGGAGTGCCTTGAAAAAGAAATATGGAAACTAAACAAATATTGCATTTGTTTATCATTTAATTACTTGTAAAATATATAGTAATTGATGCCTACTGTCGTTGGTATATGAGAAGCTAAGGACCTTAATTTTCAAAAGCGTGTACAAGTTTTTATAGTAATTTGCTGAAGGCAAAAATTAATATAATGGGAATCCTCTCACCTTAACTAATGAACAATAATTTGATAACTTAAGGGTAAAGAGAATTAGCACCAAGAAAATAATCTATTTTTCTTCTCTCCTTTTTTTTTTGGCTTCTTGTTTGGGTCATTAGTATGGGTTGGGGAAACGATCGATGTCTGTTCTTCTGTTTTCTTTCAATTGAATTTGTAAATATGCTAAGCAGTATTGTTTAACCGAAAATTATGTAATTAAGTCAAAGCTTATTTTAAGAAGTACTCGAGCTACTGATAATCAAGAAATTTTATATTTACTCAATGATAAGAAAGAAAATTAGAATATGAGATAGCAGAAATAGCCAATAGTAAGCAAAAGAAAGTAATTGTATTCCAATAATAATCAGAATGTGTCTGTACAAATGATATCTCTTTCCCTTTTATAGGAATCTATAAGTACAACGTCTTTTCCCTTTTATGACCAAATCGTTATGAGCATTAATGATATTAATGAGACGTTATAATTAGTAATCGTAACTGCTCATGAAGATTCCATAACGTTTGAGATCATTCATGCTCATTAATTGATGATTCATGAATCTTTCCTTTTTACTGTCTCGATTCATTACGCTGGTACCTCTTCATATAACCATTTAAACTTGAACGATCATATCTTCTCCTCTCGTGGGTGATTTATTCGTATTTATTATGACTCGTGCCTCTTTTAATGCATCTCTCCAGTTGTCGCTTTCTCAATGATACGCGTGTCTTGTCATATCAGTCACTCATATAAATTCACGTGAAATATTTATTTATACCAATACAAGTATCAAATACACTTTCATAATGTTATTCTTTATTTTCAAAACTATCATCTCTTCTTTCTTTTTTTAAATCAAGTCCACGAAAAAAAATTCAAATCCCAAACATTTTAATAAGGCTCATTTGTGAAATATATTTGACTTGTCAAAAGTGAGACAAGGAATCAATTCAGCAACAGATGAAGCAACATCTGATTACAAGGGGACCGATAAAATACAATATTTAATTTTTGTATACGGTCAAAATCTGGCCTACCCGATTTTACTATTTTATTGAGACAAGGGAGTTGCATCGGGGATAGCCTCGTAATAAATCAGACCTGAGCTCGAAAACGAGGCATCGAGTCTAAAGATCGAGGTATTCGTTGAGATCGAGGCCAGCAGCAATCGAGATTAAGTATGACCGACCTCGAGTGAAGTACAATAACGGAAAGGCGAGATATCCGTAACCGGTTGAAGATCACGGCGGAAATCTCGGAACAGATCAAATCAAGGACAGTTATTTGTACCAACTGTCACACCTCCTTTTTCCGCCCTCGCGGGGGTACAAGGGAGTTTTTTCCAATTAAAGGACAATCGAAACGGGATTTATTTATTTATTTCAGAGTCGCCACTTGGGAGATTTAGGGTGTCCCAAGTCACC